ACAGAGGACCCGGTGCAGACCCGTGCAGGCCCTGTGCCTGCTGCCTTGTCTGTGAGTGCACAGGGGTGTTGATCGTGCTGATTTAGAGGGCCTTGTTTTCTTGGCATCCTCTGGCTCTTATTCTGCTTCTGCTTCCTCTTCCACAGGGAGTAACCCTGCCGTTTGATATAATAACAGTACAATAGCATGAGCCTGTGTATGATAACAGTGCTGTGCACCCCTTCTAGATCTGCAGAAATGAAAGGACGGGAAGGGTCAGTGTGGTTGTGAGAGTTCTTACCAGAAATCTGGGAGTGGAATCTGGAGATCTTGCAGTATTTGCTTCTGGGTTCTGTGCAACCATTTCTCAATGGCTCTCCATGAATCAGAATGTGTGCCGCACAGCTGTGCTGGGAGAGCGCACGCCCTTGAACTACATCACAGGCTTCTTTGATGGAGCAGAGCGAAAGGGGCTGCTGCCAGAATAGCACCAAGATCCAAAGGCTCATGACAGACACTCGCCGCCCTCCTGTAAGTGTCTCTCCTGGAATCAATTTGGGTTCTGCGTTGTGAGAAGCAGGCTACACTGAACAAGCTTTCTTTGAGGTGTGTTATTGACGTCACATGCTCATGACATTCACAAAACAAACAAACAACAAACAAATGGTGTTTCGCTGTGGCTTCGGACTCAACGGTGGGAAGAAGACAACTCTTCAGTTCGGATGGTTTGCTTATCCTGAAGGGCACTAAATCCTGATGCAGAGAAAGGGGTTTTTTTATGGAGAATGGTCAACCCAAATAGGTGGAGCTACTGATCTCAGACACCCAGAGTTCTTCAAGCTACCATGGGCAGCAGGCACAAGAGTTGGATTGTGAACTCCAGTATGAACTAGGTGGCCTTAGGAAACTACTTAGTGTTCCTTTTGCTTTGTGTCTGTCCATGTAAAATGCCATAGTACCTCTGTCTTAGAGTTATTGTGAAACATAATTTAGAAAGCAAAGCATTGCTGTGGTAATATGAATTTCCTAGTAAACATCGGATGTAATTAACAGACTTAATGGAAGATTTCAAGGAGTTTCCCTTATGATTTGTACATTGAGACTCTTCCTGGAGCAACGGCTAACGGAACATGCTTCCGACATGCTTCCTTGTGTGAGCACTTGGCAAGGGAGGGTGTCTGAGGCGGAGGTCTGTGTTCTTGTGTGGCCCTCACTGGGCTCTGTTGTGAAGTCCTTGTACACATGTGTGGAGCTTTTGGAACTGACCCACCTGTGCCTCAGTCTTTGTTTCCTAGGGCCCACTGCTCCTTTTTTGCTAATGGAGGTCAGCTCTGAATCCTGCTCTGCTTCCTGGTTTGGATTAGATACTATTGTCACTACAATGGCCTCTGATTCTTAATTCTGCTACTTTCCTGGTCCTTGATAGAGTGTATGATACCCTCTGAGCCCTAGACAGGTTCAGGAGTGATAACGGAGGACCATTTCATCTAATCTCATTTACCATCACTTTTAATCTTTTTTTTTTTTATAAAGAAAGACTATTTTGTCTGAATTCCTTCCCTGAGTTTCACACAGAAGAAAGGGACACACATCCCCCTTGCTTTCTGTTTTCTCCCTAATCTATTTAACAACAACTAGGATGTAAGCCCAACCAGGGAAAGCCAGACCACAAGTGTCCTGTGTCCTTCAGGGCCTTGCTGTTGGGCTCAAAGGTGACAGGAACATGTGTAAGTACAGAGGCTAAAAGTATCTCACAAGGCCCAGCTCCAGAAGTTATGTGTGTGTGGAGTACAAAATAATATTGTAAGTATATGAAACAAAAAGCAATCTATAAGAAATCCTTTCCATCACTACATATGTAAAATTGTAAAAAGAAGATTTTGTCTTGATCAGTGATTAAAAATGAAATTTCTCTCCTATCAGTAATATTTTGAAAATCAATAGTATATACAACTATGAATATCTCATACATCTCAACCCAAAACATAATTTAAGTTTATCACTAAAAAGAAATTTGCTATGTCCTGACATCTGAAGCTTCTACATAAAAGAGACCTAGAGAGTCTCTCCAAGTTTGACAGTGTTCCTAAAAATTTATACTGCACTAACAATAAAATGTTATGAAGTCCAGAGTTCTAAGGGACCAATAAATGAAAACTCATAGATTATACCACAGGATAAAATAAATTCTTTCTATTTTCTTTTCAGAAAAATGGTGTCTCCAAATTGGTATGGTATGAGTTGCTGATAGAAGATTCTACAGCCAAGAAGTCAAGGAAATGCTTAGGAAAATATTTCATGAAGTGAATCAGCTGAAAGATGATTTTTTGAAGTATATTTGTGGTATCTGTGGTATGTACTGGCTCTGTGAAATTTGAAATTTGGGGTAGGATTTCCTTTTTAAAACTATTAAATCTTGCAGCTGGGCATTGGTGGCGCACGCCTTTAATCTCAGCACTCGGGAGGCAGAGGCAGGCGGATCTCTGTGAGTTCGAGGCCAGCCTGGTCTACAGAGCGAGTGCCAGGACAGCCTCCCTCCAAAACAATACAGAGAAACCCTGTCTCAAAAAATCAACAAACAAACAAACAAACAAAAAAACCCTATTAAATCTTAAATTTTTATAACCTTACTGAAGAGATGTTTCATGTGTGTGGATGCTTAAAATTCTGTATCTGTTCCTGCAGGGAGCTGCCTGGGCCACTCCAATTGACAAAGGCCACCCATAGGTATATGTGCACATCTGTGGGACCGTGTCCCGCAGGTGAATGTTATATATTACTCCTAGTCGTCAAACAAAACGAAAACTAAGAAATGCTTTGCTTTGTGTGGAGGCCCATAGAAGTGGCTCCTCCATCTTGACTTAAGAGAGTTTGAGCCTATTACTGCCCCTTCAAGGTTATACCGCAGAATGTTTGGCCTAAGGTATGGCAATTGTATGTCATGCCTTTTCAATGGGATATCTGGTTTAGGGTGTGGTCACTTGATGTTTTAGGTATTGAGGAGGTAATTACATTTGTTTGCTCTGATATTATGGTTAGGAAGTCTTTTGCCTTCCCCTCTTTTGATTGGGGTATATAAGAACTTGGAGCAATAAACTTGGGGCTGATCACAGTAATTACTGGATGTCCTCCTGACTCTTCCTTCTGTTTCTAGTTTATTTCTTTCCTTAGTCCACACTCCTCCTTTCAAGCACCAAGGAGTACCTTGGCTGGACTGAGCAGCTTGGTTGTATTTTGCAACAATGTTACCTTATGTAGCCTAGGTGGGATACATAGGTAGTTCTTTCTAGGCCTTTTGAGTACTCTGACTGTAGGCGAAGACCACCATGCCTCGCAGAACCATTGCTCTGGATAGCAGAAACTAACCAAGTGACTGCCAGCACCCAAACCTGGTGTTTGTTGTGGTGATGCATTTACTTGTAAGCTTACATCATTTTTATTTATAGATTAGTAAGTATTATACTGTGTATTTGTCATCTATTGTTGCATGGAAAACTACGCCAAAATGTCTTAAAACACTATCATTTCATCCTATTTTACTAAATCTCCCTTTTCTAGGTGATCAGGACAAGACTAAAAGGAATCTGTTTCCTGAATCTAGCGTCAGGCAGTGGCATTATAGACACTGTCTTTGATTAAGCAGGGAATGGAAAGAAGGTGTTTATACTTTAACCTTCCCCAGTTGAAGACAGATCTCAAGGATGCTGGGCAAGAGGGGTCACAGCATGAAACCAGGGGAAAATATTGGGGTTTAGGTGAGATTGAGCCACTAAGATACAGTAATGAAACTTCTTTAGTGGGAGTGAAACCAAGAATTAAATAGGTTGTATTGACAACAGATGCTAAGGACATCATGGGGGTGGAGTGGTTCTGCTACCAGCAGGCCAGTAAGCTTTTAAGAGTTAATTACATTTGGATTTGAGATAGGAAGGGTTTGTTCTGCAGTTATGAAGTACGTTGATTATAATAATATGGATGTAGACATCTCAATGGTAAGAGACACTGTCTATGGCTCCTCTGGGAAGTCTGAGTTTCCTACTAACTTCAGAGGCATTCATGGGCAGGCAGGCTATGGAAACATGTCAGGCATTGTCAGCATGGGCAGTCTGAAGTAGAAACCATTCAGTATCCTCTTCTCCTAGGAGCTGAAAGCACATGGCAATGTTTACTTCATGCCACAAGCACCATACTCTGTGTTATGGGAGCTATTTCCACTCAGTTACTGTGTTTGAAAAAAGTGCTACAGAGTGTGATATAGTTCTATAAAGTCCTGCCAGTGACACTTTGTATGAAGACCATGACTTAAAAACTATTCTGGTATGTGTTCTTCTGAAACTACTCAAGCAGTTCTAAGGATGGATTTGGATTTTTTGCTGTTAACTCTACTAAACTGTAATACAGATTTAAAACATTAAATATGTGTTGTGTGTCCTATGGTACGTCATGTACAGGTCAGCAACAACTTTTCAGAGTTTTCCTTTCCTTCTACCATGGGTTTTGGGGACTGAATTCAAGTGTTCAGGTCTGTATGGCAAACATTTTTTCCCCTTGTGCATCCTGCCAGCCCTAAACTGCAATTCTTTAGTGACTGCAAGATCCTTTAGAATTCTGTAAAAGTCATTTGTTTGAGAGATGATCCCCATTCCATCTGGGAGAGTGGTTCCCATGGATGCCTTTGGTCTGGGCCTCATTTACTCCTGCTGTCTGAAACAGTCTTGTAGACATCCAGAACCCATGCAACCAACTGTCTGGGGCCCTGAATGAATGGCTCTTATGGTTATAGACTTTTTAGTCCATGTTATTCAAAGATCATAACATGTTTAAAAATATGGGCAATCCAAACAGATAGAAGCAGGTTGGATCTCAGCTCTCTAGCTTACTAGAAGCATGGACTTCAACAAGATCTGCAACTTTTTAAGTTTCAATGTCTTCCTTTGTAAAAGGCTATGAGAATGATGCTGATAGTTCTTGTCCCATGGGATTATTTTTGTAGGAAAAATAATCACGATGGCTGTCACTTATTGATGTGTGTCGGCTCTGGGCCAAATGCTTTATTTATACGACCTGTGATCACAATGCAAACTGCTGCGTAGAGACCTTCCCAGCAGAGGAACTGAAGGAGGTTAATTAACTTTTCAAGTGCATAAAACCAAATGGCATGGTGTTCTTTTCACTGTGTTGAATGGTTAGGGCCGCATTTATTTATATGAAACTCATGTGTCCCAGTTTAAGGCATTGCACCTCAAGATGAATATGGGTTGGAGGAATCATTGACTTTCTGTTGCATTCATGAAGGACAGCAGCCCCTCATTCTTGACAAAAATGGACTACCATGTGTTAAAAGCAGAAGGAAAACACTCTAGTCATAGTGTTCCATAAGGAAGGGCTGTTTTTCAGGATACCCACAATTCTTGACCTGATGATATGGACAGGAAATCACGCACAGCTTTCCATTCCTAGAAAGGTCAGCCTCAAGAACCCCTCCTGCTCTACACTGGGTGCCTTGGGTGGTGCTACTGAGAGGTGGGGGCCTTGAAGAGATGGGGCTCAGTGGGTGGGGCATCAAAGAACCCTAAAGAGGCCATTGGGGGCCGGTTCTTAAAGGGGATGTGGAATTCCGCCCTTTCCTATGTAATGTTTGCTACTTGGATTACAAAGAGGTGATCAGTCTTGCCCAGTCACACCCTTTGTAAAATTGCCATTGGGCACTCCACCAGATACCTGGAAACAGTAAGTCGACCTGATCATGGACTAGAATCTCCAAATTTTTGAGCCCAAATAACCCTTGTCTTTATGCATGGTTTCTTTCAGCTATTTCTGATAGTAACAAAAAGCCAAGTAACACAGATGCTTGATTTTTATATGCATCTACTCCAGCAGGGTCTCCAACTTCCCTCTGCTTCTATGGAAAATTTCTTGTCTGGCCCCTCCATGGAAAGCTCAATCCCAAAGGAAGCCTTTTCTGAGGCCAATCAGTTTGTTAGGAACAGTCATTGTTCAATTTCTGGGACTAATCAGTGACTGCTAGGCCCTGAAATCAAGGGAAGTCTCTTGCAGAGTCTTGGTGAGATTGCCAGTGATTGGGCCAAGTTTGTGGTTTCCCACGCTTTGAGTGCTACCTGTCCCCAAAGTCATGCCCTGGCTGCCTGCTTCTGCTTTTCATCTTCTGGGCTGTGAATCGACTCTGCCGATGTGCAGAGGTCCTCATAGTCCAGGGTAGCAGCAACTTCACTTCCTGTAAACCATTCTTGCACCTATCTTCAGGAACAACAGTTTGCAAGTATGCTAGGCTGGAGTTCCTCCGAAAAGTCATCTCAGCGAAAGTCACCAGGTCTCCAGAGAATTCAGTTGCCCCTAACACACAGAGAGCAACTTAAGTTATTTGAATAACAGCAATATCTAGTACCTTTTCTACCCTGGCTATTGGTTTATGTTTTTCCGTCCAGTCCCCCAGCCCAACCCCATCTTATCTATCTGATAGACAAGGGAACAGTTTCCACTAATGCTGTCCAAATCTCTACATCTTACAGGGAGAATCTCTTTTTCATTTCCCCACCCTTCCCTTCGTCCTTCAGAAAGATTCTTAACTAGAATAGGGAAGTACTAAAGAAAAGGAGACAGAGATGCAGGGAGAGGTGCGGAGGGGTAAAAGGAATGAGGGTGGGGGGGGGGAGAAAAACACAAGGGGATGCGGAAGCCTGGGTTAATGGAATGAGATTCCTTGGTTAAAAGTGAGGAGGAAACCCACATAGGCTCTTATTATACTGGATGCCTGTATCACACAAGAGTTTACCCTGAGCAGCAGAGGGTGACCTGACATGGATGAAATTACAGGTTAGAAGGTACTCAGATAGCTATGTGTTGCTAATTGTATCAACTTTAATTTAGCAAAAACTATGGTTTTATTTTGACATTAGAACTACTTCCTAAAAGTTTGAAGTTTTAACTATCCTGTGAGTGAACACCTTTTTTATTCTACACACCTCTCATCTAACAAGTAATTGGCAGTACATAGAGCATTTTGGAACCATCCTTCAAGCCCCCCCCCCCCCCCCTTTGCCTCCAAGCTGTACATCACAAAGACAGAGCAATACAGCTTCACAAGTGGGTGAAAAGCCTCCCATAAAGGAGGGGGAATGTTAATTATCCTTTGGAGTATGTTGGTGGTTCAGATTTCAGAATCAGAACACAAGTTATTCATCCAACAGTGACAGGAATATATCCCCATGTAACCCTATTATCTCCTTTTACCTTTACTGAGTCGCTTTCCAATTTTTTTTTTTAATATTCAAACATGTTTTACATGACTGGACCTTTTTATTATTTTGCAATAACCTGACATACATTATGTTTTTCCTCTAGTGCCAAACTGTTCATGACAGTGATTCTTCATAACTCTGTAATAAGATGTAGAATGTATGTTTGCATTAATCTTTAATCTATTAGAAAGATAATATTTGACTGTGTAAAATAAATAGCCATTTTATTTGTACTTTGAAGAGTTGTATGTGTTTGCTGCATGCGCTTGCCCATGAGGATACATGCGGAGGCCAGAAGTGGACACTGGATCCTCAGTTGCTTCATCATCTTCTGTTTTGGAGACAGGGTCTCTCACTGAACCCAGAGCTCACTAATTGGCTAGGTTGGTTGACCAGAGGGCTCCATACAGGTCCCTGCTCATCCCCCAGCTTTGCTGACAAGGTTATGTACTGGGCACACCTATGGTCCCATAAAGATGGCATCTTGCCTCCAGGTCAGAGAGTTAAAAAACTGTCTTAATAAGTCAAAAGACCTAAAGGTCTAAGGCTTGTTTACTGCAGAATGTTTCAGACTTGGTGACTGATATCTTATCTAAATAACAACAGACCTGGGCTCAGGTAGTTTACTCTTGACTCTCAAGGCCGGATAAGAGGTGTGGTTACCAAATGGTTGGAGGATTAAGGGAAGAAAGTCTGTTTGCTCCTTATACATGATAATTGAAGTTTTTGGCGGTGTCCCCCACTTTTGGTTGGGGTATTTAAGAATGTGGAAGAGTAAACTTGGGGCATTCAGTATTCACTGGATTGCCCTTCTGACTCTACCCTTTGTTTTTGTCTTCTCCTTTGTCTCTTCACCTGTCCTTTCTCAGTTCACATGCCCTCTCTCAGGGCTGGTTCCCACTGAAGGCCCAAAGACAGGTTCCCACAAGTACCAGGCACACAGCTTGTTCACACAGGCAGGCGCTGGGGATTCCAGCGCCGTCTTCATGGAACCATCTCCTCCGTTTTACTTTATGAAAAATAAAAAAACCCCGGGACTGGAGAGGTGGGTCAGGAGTTGAGTGTATACGAATTTTACAGAGGACCCGATTCAGTTTTCAGTACCCACATGGCTGGGTGGATCACAACCACCTGTAACTACCTCCAGGGGATCTAACAACCTCTTCCATGTGTTGTGGGCACTCACATGTACACACACACAAACAATTAAAAATTAGTCTAAAAAATCAAGATACTGACCTAAAAATAAATAACTATAAAGCTTTTTGGGGAAATAATTTAAAATTGACAGAAAATTTCCAAGAATAATACATTGACCATAGTTATCCATAGTCACAAATTATTACCATGTTGCTCCTCATCGTCGGCTTTCATTTTCTCTCCCAGCATCTTTCTCTATTACATTTTTCTGACCATGTGACAGGAAAAGTGTATATAATAGCCCTTTACTTCAAATCATCCCAGATTTGGTCACTGGAAGCGCCTTCAAATTGACTCCTATGCCTTGCTGACATGCCCCATTAAAACTGGAGTACCCCTTAAGTTTTACCTCAGAAACCGTGCTCATGCTCTGCCTCACATCCCTCCGACCCCAGCTCTGGAGCCAGCGATGTCTCCAAGGGCATCATCCTCTAGGAAAGGGCATTAAAGATTCATCTTGGGAGCGGATGCCCGCATTAGAGAACCGCACTGGGTGCCAGTGCTGGGTGGCTAAACATCTTGGTGGGATTTAGAACCCCCTAGGAGACAAAACTCTGGGCATGATTGCGAGGGTCTTCTCAAAGGGGCTCATCTGTGTTGTGAAGGACCAGCCTGAATATGGAAGGCACCATTTCCTGGGCTGGGTTCCTGGACTGAGTAAAAGGAGAAAGCAAACTGAGCAGCACCATCTATCTGGCTCTATTTCTGATGGTGGATGCAATGTGACCGGCAGTTTCCTGCTGGTGCTACTGTGTCTTCTCTGCCTTGATGGGCTGAACCCTGGAACCATGAGCAAACTAGCAAACTTCCTTCTTCATACTGCTTCTGTCAAGTATTTGCTATAGAAACAAGAAAAGTAACTAGCAACAGGCACCTTTGCTAATAGGAGGACATGGCTGAGAAATAATCATATGTGTATATATGTATACCCATATATTCACAGTTATACTTTTATGTATAGTAGAAACCCAGAATCCATGTCAACACCTGAAATTAAATCCACTCCATAGGAGTCACTTAATCTTCCCTCTTTCATTATTTGAACGACCCTTCTTTCCTCTCCAAAGCCATGACTCCTCGGAAGTTAAGACATTTTTAACTCATTTGCTCCATCATGTTGTCAATCTAAAAGAAACACAGAATTAATTGCTGTTTTAGTTAGGGTTTCTATTGCTGTGACAAAACGCTGACCAAAAAACAATGAGAGGAAGAAATGGTTTATTCCAGCTTACAGCGTAAAGTCTGCCATCAGGGAAGTCAGCTGGATCTGAGGCAGGAACTGAGTCCATGGAGGATGCTGCTCACTGGCTTGCTCCCTATGGCTTGCTCAGTCTGCCTTCTTATACCACACAGGACTACCTGGCAATGGTTGGCACCAGGGGGGCTGTGCCCATTAATAAAGAAAATGTTCTACCTACTTACCTACAGGCCATGCTTATGGATGCATTTTTCTCAATTAAAAGTTATTACCAGATGCCACTCTGTCAAGTTGACATTGAAACTAGCCAGCATAATTACATTGCCCATATCTCTATAAAGTTTTATTTATTTACTTATTTATTTTACAGAAGGGTTTGCTTTTTGTTTTAATATTTATTTATTATGTATGTATATAGTATTCTGTCTGCATGTATCCCTGCAGGCCAGAAGAGGACACCAGATCTAATTATGGATGGTTGCAAGCATTCATGTGGTTGCTGGGAATTGAACTCAGGACCTCTGGAAGAGCAGTAAGTGCTCTTAACACCTGAGCCATCTCTCCAGCCCCAAAGTTTTATTTTTTTAAGTTTTTTTTCTTTGTGTGCCTTCTTCCCTGACCTTGAATAATATTAGAAAGCAGTTTTGATCCAATATTGTATTTGTAAACTACTTGGATCGTTTGAATTTCCTTTACCCTCCTTTTTGAAATGACTGTCATTAGTTTTAAATCCTATTAAAATTATTTTCAAGTTTAGCTTTCCATGAACAGTCTTGCACTTTTCTGTGATTTCTTTTATCCCATGTTAAGAATTTCTCTTGGAAATCACTCCAGATGAATTCACAGAAATCTTCATTTCTTTTCATTTAAGTGGTATAAAGTGATCAATTATGATTACTTATCATAATTTCTCTAGCTTGGACATCTAATTTCCACTCTCCTGCAGTTGCAAGAGCTATGGCAATGGGCAATCTTGGGCACAGCATTCTGCGTTGTTGGGAGTCTTAACAGCTGGTACTCAGAAATGGCATTGGTGCCTTGGTGGGAAAGCCATACAGGTATTGTAGCCAATACAAACTTTTTCCTTACGATCACACCACTTTGTATTCTCATCAACGACGCAAGGAGAGAGTTCTTTACATTTGCCAGCACAGTGTAATCATAAACTTTTGGATTTTTGCCAAGTTGGTGTGAAGTAGTTTCTATCTGCCATTTTAATGTGTTTCTCATATGAATAAAAAGGACATTTTTACATGTTTGAGGTCCATTTTTAGAAAATTTAAGGGACTTTATGGATGTCTTCTGCCCATTTTTTTAATCATTGGAATTAAAAATCTCAAGTTGCCTATTTGGCAGTATATCTTTGGATCTGACTAATGCTAATTGGAGGCAGAATAGCAGGGTTCTTGTGGATTAGCTGTGAGTTGCACCGTGTAGAACCTCAGTCTGTAAGCAGGGCACTGGGGCAGTGATGTCATTGGAGGAGGTGCTCTGTTTACCTTCTAATACTACACCAGCCACTTAGGCAGGCCAGTGCACACCTGCTGCTCTGCAAGTGCCACCTACAAGAAGACAGCAGTGACAGCACTCACCTTTCAAGATTAATGTGCAGACTCATGGCTTAACTTGTACTTTAAACAGTGCCAGGAACAGAAAGCATTCCACAAACATTTCTGTTCACAGTCATCATATTCTCAGTGTGTTTATTTGATCCCACGGAGAAGCTTAAGTCAAGCGTCCTGGAACCTGAAAGTTTACATGTATGAGGCATATCAGTAGGAGACTCAGAATTTTAATTAATTTGTTCATTAATGAACTCACTTGATCATTAATTCATTACTCATTTGATCATTCCATGAGCATTTATGGAGGATCTGCTATTTGCTACACACAGGTCTCGATGCTGGAGACACCACAGGAAAGACTGACTTTGATCCCTTGGCACTTACTCTTTTGTGGTAGAGGGGTTGCTTGTCTATTTTATCACTTGCATCTTCAGTATCCCAGAGCAAGATTAATGCATGGATCAGAGAATGAGGGAACGAGTGACTGATGGGAGAACGAGGCCAAGAAATGGGAAGAAAAATGGCAGAGTCCAGAATGTCCAGGCCCTGTCAACCATAGCTGAGTAGAGAAATTGTGTGATCCTATTTATATTCAAGAAATTTCAAACCTGTGGCTGGGCAAGAGTCCACAGGAGAAGGAAAAAACCTGTCACAGTGGGACCAGGTAGAGATGACAAGGGTCTGAATGAAGCCACAGGCTGACAGTGGTGCCAGGGAGGGACTGAGTTAGGGAGATGGTCCATAGTCACAGCTGGCAATGTGGAGAGGGTTTGAAATTGAAGAGAGATAACTTCTGGAGGGTGGCTTTTTAAACTTGAATATGAGGTGACCCCAGGTCAGTGTCCATTCTTGCGGCCACCTGCATTAAATTTGTCTCTGTTCACTGGAGTCAGAAGGTGTGGGTCTATCTGCGGTGCTGTAGATTTCAGTGTCTGACAGTAGTACTCCCCTGAAGACCAATTTGCAAGCAGCGTAGCTTTGGGGATGACTGACCTTTCTGGGTTATCTGGTGGGGCACACTCACTGTCATACAACTGCTAGCAATAAATGCCCAAGGCAGATGTGCATACAGCAGACTGTGAATAGACAGCACATGAAAGCCCGTCCAAAGCTGAGCATGGTGGGCGTGCCTTTAATCTCAACAAATCGGGTTCCAGGACAGCTAGGGCTGTTACACAGAGAAACCTGTCTCAAAACAAACAAACAAAAACAACAAAACCAAAACTGAAAACCCCAAACTCAAAACAAGACAAATAATCCCCAAACCCCAAAACAACCCTCCCTCCCCAAGCAAATCTTCAAGTAAGAAAGCAGCTGCCTCTGCTGCTCAGGGAACATGGAACCAAGATGCAGGGATTTAGTATGGGAAGGAGCTTACAATCCGTTTCCTCAAAGACAGAGAACAGGTGATTTAGTCATTTCCAGAGGCAGAGGCAGGTGGATCTCTGAGTTCCAGGCCAGCCTGGTCTACATAGTGAGTTCTAATACAGCCAGGGCTACACAGAGAAACCCTGTCTTGGGGGAGGGGGATCCTCAGACAGTCTTACAAAAGCCCCTCTGAAATGATGCTCTGCAAGGTTTGATGACAACTAATGCTTTTGTAGATATCTAATGGAATTAAAGGTTGTGAAGTTTAGGCTTAAGAGATTAGGACAAGATAGCCATCTGGACACATGGGCTCCCACCTTTACCAGAGAAAAGGAATTTCTAATGCCACTGCGGATGTGGTAAAAAGTCACGAGAATAGGAACCATGTTCCACAGGATGACATTTGTGTTATAAAGTTTATGGAATTTCCTACATGTCACTGCACTCCCATAAGAAGGTTCATCGCAGTTAGGAAAGGACCTGTTATGATCCATTTTCTAATCAGAGCGCCCCCCCCCGCCCCCAACCAGGCACGTATAGTTAAGAGGGCAAAGTAGGCTCTCAGAAGAAATAGCGAGCTAATGCAAACAAACTGCAGGGAAGAGAAATGCTCTCTGAGAGTGCAGGGGAAAGAAGATAGCAAGAGAAGCCAGGCACTGGCGACAGTTGGCAGGGACGAGGGCTGGGGATAAGAAGCAGAGGAGGGAAAGCATGCGACTGCAACCTCACGTGCCGGGCACGAGTGCACACCGGAGACGTGGAGAAGAGAACTGAGAAAGGAGGGACTTGGTTCCCCGAAGATGCCTTCTCCGCCCTGCGGCAAGGGGGTGTGGCACGGGGCCGGGAAGGTGGGGGCGGGAGACAGTGGCGCAGGCCGCGGTGGGTCCCCCGGTTCTTCCTGGAAGCCGGAGAGCGGCGGAGCGGGGCCGCGGGCAGGGCGGGCGGAGGCGGAGCGAGGGCGCGGATGGGCGTGGCGGGGGCGCGCAGGGCGGCGCAGTCCGAGGGCGGCGCTAGGACCCGCAGGCCGCCCCTCCGGCTCCCGGGAGGTTGATAAAGCGGCGGCGGCGTTTGACGTCAGTGGGGAGTTAATTTTAAATCGGTACAAGATGGCGGAGGGGGACGAGGCAGCGCGCTGGCAGCAGCCGCCCGAGGGGCTGAGGCGCCGGCGGCAGACTAGCGACGCGAGCGTCGGCGTCAACCACGTCTCGTCCACGACCTCCCTAGGTACGGCCGGCCGGGCCGAGGCCGCGGGCGGGGGTGGGGGGCGGCGAGCCGGGAGGGCCACGGCCGCCCGGGTCGGGAGCGCCGGCCGCCCGGCGGGGTCCGAGCCAGCGGCCGGCCGGGCTGGGTTCTCTCCGCGGCCGCTCGCAGGGCCTGCTGGCCTCGGCCGCGCCCCGCGCTGCCCCGCGCGGCCTCCGAGGCGGCCCGCGGGCCTCGGCTCCCTCAGCCGGCGGTGAACGGGCGGCCCGGCCCCCTGCCCGCCGCCGCCGCCGCGTGGCTGCCGCCGCGTCCGCCCCGACCCGAGGGGGCGGCCGCGAGCCGGGGCCGCGGGGCCGGGACGTGCGCACCGAGGTCGGCGGCCGTGCGGGCTCGGGCGCCCGGCGGGCGCGCTCTGCCTTGGGCGTCTCGCGCGGTCCGGGGAGGGACGGGAGAGCGCGGGGCGCGGGAACCGCGGCACCCGGCTGCCGGGGCGCGGAGCTCGGCGCACGCACCGTCCCCGGTGGGGGCCGCAGTCCGCAGGCGGGGCTGTGGCCCGGGCTCGGGTTCCTGAGCTCTCCGACCCGCCCAGACCCGTTCGCGGGAGTTGTGCTTGGCTGGGGTTCCCAGTGCTGGCTGAGGTTGTCAGACGCGGGTTTGGAGCCCCCGGGGCTGCCAGTCGTTGGCTTCAGGCTGAAAGTGTCTGGTGTGAGGTCACCCGGTGTGTCGCCGAATGTGAGCTCCTGCTGTGCTGTGTGTTTCCGCGGCGCCCCTGCCCGCTCGAAGACGCAGTTGCGCGGCCAGCGCCGTGGTTGTGTGTGGCGCTCTTATTTTTAGGAGCTTAGCATTTGACCTTTCACCGTGGTGTGAGTTGAACGCTTCAAGTCCTCCTCATTGAGAGTTGTGATGGTGGCTAAAGGCATAAAGTTTTTAGAAGGCATACAAATTAGTAGAGCTGTACGATTAGATATACGTGAGGTCAAGATAAAGAGTATAGTAAACACACTGAGTGTGAGATTGCTTTCCTGTTTCCTTCTCCACAATCTGATAAACGTAGGTTTTACTGGGTGAAACTCAAAACGTTTGGATTAAATATCAACCACAGACATCTTATAGAAAACTTTAGATTACATTTCATCTTAATATGGTAGCTAGTGGACATATGTCAGAGGTGAGAATAGGTTAGAATTTTTCTATGAGAAAAAGAAATGTTGTTACCCGTCAGCTCCAGACACTTGCCAGAACTGATAAGCCGATAACCCGGATAGCCCTCTGCCCTTGAGAATACTCCCAGAGGGGCTTTCCCTTATTTAGGTGGCTGATGGTTGAATTTAAGTAGCTATTGTCCTGGAGTGGGGGAGGGAGTAAGGTGAAGTGGGGTGTGTTTGTATGTGTGTTTGAGATGCAGTGTCAAAAACACTACTCATTAGGAAAAGCTTACATCTGATTCAGTCATGGTTAAGAGCATATTTTTATGCTATTGGACACTGAGAAGAGACTCTTGGGACTGTTGATAAATAGTGCTTGCCCAACATTTATGAAGTGTTCCTGTCTGCTGCTCATAGTTCTGGCCTTTCTTCTGGTGTGGACGACTTTCACTTAATAACCATTCCTATTAAATGACTTCCCAAGACAGCCCCTACACCTGCTAATTTGCTTCTGAGTCACCTATGTGTGTGCTCCAGACCAAATAAACTCGTTAGGATTTGTGTCAAAGGTAAGAACAAGCACTGTGAATTCCTAGGGATTCCTCTATTTTGATGATGTCGAAACTCTTCCTCCTCCCTGTGTTTTTTTTAGAGTTGTAGGAATGAGTTTGAAAGTAATAAAGTTAAAAAGTGAGTTGGGGTGATCCTGGTGTCACTTAAGTGACACAGACTTGGGAAGATGTCTTTTGCCTCTAAGAGAAATGTTTGGGTTGGGGTTTTAGGAGTTTAGGATCTCTAGAAAACATGTTTTTTTAGAAAATGGAGGACTGTTTTAGAATTTAGTCACCATGAGACTTAGGGACTTCATAAAGTTAACAGACAATTAAAATTTTATGTACAAGGAACCTAATATTTTCAAGGTTTCTGGTGTTGATGGTCTCATATCTCACTTAGATGAAGACAGGAACCTGTGTTATGTTAAGCACACAGTTAGCAAGCTGTGAAGTCACATAACCGCTTCTTACCTTGGGTTACCATAGTTTGGAAAATATTAGATGGGAAATTAATAAATAAGCAACCATACATTTTAAATTGTGTGCTCGTGTGAACTTATGGAAAAAGGGAAACAACCCCAGGTCCCTCCCACCCCATATGTTGATGATCAAACCAAGGGTCTTGCAAATATTAGGGCAAGGGCTACATGTTCAGCCCACCTCCAGAGTGGACTTAGGAGGCAACACTCAATCAAGAGGCATTATTGGCCCTTGAAGTTGATGGGACTCTAGGGTTCTGTAGGTGGGACCAGTCTGTTTGATAGAGTACTTTTGCAATTCTGTGGTCTTTTTTTATGGGGAAGGGCAGAAGAATCTACAGTAAAGGGATGTTTATTTAGAGAAAATAAGTCTAGAGAGCTGTAGGTAGAGTCCACATAGGTATACAGTTTTTCAGGATTCTTTTTTTTAAGATTTAAAAAATAATGTATGTGTACATGCACCTGAGTACAGGTGTGAGTTGTCAGTCCCCTGGAGATAGAGTTATGGCTGATTATGAACCACTTTATGTGGGTACTGGAACTGAGCATGGATTCTCTGGAAGAGGAGTATACTGTCTTCACCACTGAACCATTTGTCCAACCTGTCTGTTTTTGGTGCTGCTTTATAACAACTTTGGTAGAATTTCTGATTATTCCCCAAAATGACTGTTTTGAAATCGTTAGACCTTTTCCGAGATCATGCCTTTCTGCAGCTGGTAACAGGTGGCTCCCAAGAGTGACAGGAAGGCAACCAGTGTGATATATAGTTGAAGACATTTTTTAAAATGTGAGGCATATTTACAAATTTTTGTTTATGGGAGATCTGTTTGACATACAAATGTGAGCAAAGCTTTTTTTTTTCAAGCAAGGTTTCAAAGGTAAAAGCCAGACATAATGCACAGAAGTAAACTTACTTTTTTTTCCTTTAATGTTAATTTTATGACTTTATAAGGAGTGTTTTCTCTGGGGAAAGTACAGAGAAATAACTTTAATTTCTTTTTTCCTCTTCCTTAAATGCAGTGGTATTGTGATACTGTAGCAGTTTGAAGTTTTTAAACCCCAGGTGTGTTTCTTCATAGAAATTGGTGTGTGTGTGTGTGTTTTTAACCTTAAAGGAAGATAGATGTGACCAGAGGATAACTGAACTTGATCCCCCAATAAATTCATTTTTGAAGTTTTGTCTTATCTCTTAGTCTCTTTTGCCACCAAGAAATGGAACAGTTGAAGGCTTTCTCTGTTTTAAAAGTGGTAGAAAAAAACACCAACCTGAACATTTGATGACAACCAGGTATTATTTGGTGCTTTAACTCCCCTGCATTTTATTTCTTAAAGCCCCCCCCCCCTTGGGGAGAGAGCTCAGTAACTATTCCCATGGGAGAGAGAGTGTACTGTTTCTCTAGTCACAGAAATTTCACAGGTACTTGGCATTCCTC